TAATCGTATTCATCAACAGAAATGCTGCCAAAGGCTAAAACGTTTCTTTTTTAATTGCTTTACATCTTCAGATTCAACCACAGAATTATGTTTTAAATGATCTGGTCCCTTTTTAAACACATACACACACACATTCACACACACAAATAGAGAGGTACTGTATATTTACTGCTCAGTCTTCTGAGGCCGAGCGGACTTTAAAAAGCAGGTGTTGTACAGAGCTAGGCTGGGGTTAGGGTCCTACCTAGGCTTGATTTATGACCAGCCACTGGGTGGAAATCAGCAGTTTTAAAATGGGTTAATATAACCACCCAATCGTCACTGTGTTGCTCTGAGGATAAAATTGGAATCTTATTAAACGCCTTCTTCACAAAAGCAGGGTGACGTTAACTTTGTCCAAGGTACACCCTATTGAGAAAAGAAATTTTCAAAGTAATTAAACCACTAAAAGTCTCAAACATTTGTATAACAATCCTACCCCACAGTTTCTGAAAAAGGGGGGAAACTAGATGAGATACCAAGCAGCCAGGGGAAAAACAAATAGAGCCATTTAAAAGCTTTATCTAATTACCCCCACTGAGACTTTTTCTCTGCAGTCTGGCTGGCTGACAAAGAATGTGGGGGTTTTCATTGGGCTTTCTCCACCCTATCAGGACCACCCGCCCTCATGGAGTCTGAAAGGCCTCAGGTGAATCCTGCAGGAGCAGTCAGTGCCCGGTCCTGGGGATTTTACAGAGGCTTTCAAATTCTCTTAGCATTACTTGCTTGAATCACACTGAACAAACAGTCTCCACCCTCTCCCACTTCTTTTGTCTGAAGCACCTATTCACCGGCAGCCACCTCTACTGATGGCTGACTGGCTCACCTGTATCCTGAAGTACCATCAGAAACAAGATGCACCAGTAGCTGGAAGAAACAGCTCCCCGTGCCCTCCTCCAGGGCCTCCCTTCCTCTCCACCCCACCCCATCTCCACCAACTGACGATACCAACAGTCAATACCCAGGGAAGGTGAGAAGAGAAACTGAGACCAGCACAGTGGATGACACTGTCCACAGGACAGCTAACATAACAGGGAAAAGTCCATCCCCTCACTCCCATCTTCCTCATTCTTCTATCCCAGTAGTAATGCAAACATTTCAACTGGCTTTCCTCTGTATTCTGCTTCCTATTAGAGTTGGGGAAATTAAAAATAAGTGATGCATTTCAGAAAGCACATCGTATGCCTCCCTCTGTGTTTCATATGGTACACCTTTTACCTCTGATTTATGGGGAGGCCCCCTAAGGCATGGAAACCACAATCTGACCCCTATGTTTTGAAGAGGGCCGGGGCTATTTCTACTCAGAATCATTTCCTAAGTCAGACAGAAAAAAAAAATCATATACCCTGCCTCCTCAAAGGAACCCATCCAATTTCTTAATTATATTTGGATATAAAAATATTACTCAACTTTGCCTATTCAGTAGGTCATATGTACACAAGTAACCTTGAGGCAGGGAAACTTTTGACTTACAGAGGACTTGCCTTTCAACCAAGCACAGCTTCAGTTAGATTTCAACCATTTTATCTCACTGAAAACGCCAAGATCCTTGAACATAGTTATGGCAGAAATGTACTGTATATCACATCCCGCCCCCTAACATTTGGTCAGTCCTTCCAAAGATATTCTACACCTAATATAATTATTTTTAAAAGGTATTTAGAACTGGGTTGAGTAAACTGAGATGAAGAAGTGGAGTAAAAAGGAGGAGGAGCCCTATCAAAACCTAAAGGAATGATAATCTCAGTAAAGGGGTAAGAAAATGATGTCCTGTTATTAGAAGAGACTATATTGCATACTTCCTACTGATACTATACTGCATTTCTATCTTTTAAATGCTAATCTGTTTAATAAGGAGTGAACTAAGACATTGCTTCATGTATTAGGTAGATTTTCCAAAACAAACTAAAATTTCTGCTACTAATAAATGAAATACAAGTGATGTTACTCACACATATCCTCCTGAATGTAAGGTTTAACCTGAATACACAGGTAATATACAAGAAGTCCCCCCAGACGAACTGTCATTTGACACCAGAATTGGTCAGAGAGCTTGAACTTCAATTAGAAGACACTTACAAAAGAAAGAGTGCTTATTTAAATATGATAACAAAAACAAAACAAACTTAACATCCTACCTTCCTGGGTCAAAGGACATGGGGAACTCAGAAATTAATTAAAGCTAGTAAATAATGTAAACCAGGGAAGGACTCCTTTTCAAAAATGCTTTGGTTAATTTTAGCATCCTTCTGTTTAGCTGCTTAGCAACCCTTATCCTATGACCTTTTGAGCATCACCTACTTTTCAGAAGGATAATGAATAGAAACATCAAAAGGGATTCACATCTGACTCTTTCTAGTGAACATATTGAACCAATTTCTGTAGGAGTTAAATTTATATTAATTATGCCATAAACCTAAAAGAGAATTTTTAAAATTTTATTAATCAGGAAATAGCCTTTGCTGAAGGTAGTAAATGATGTTGACAACTGAGCATAAGGTAGCAAGCAAAGATTTCCAAACTGACCTAGGAAGTGGACCAACACAGCAATTCAAAATTGAACATAAAAAATGAAAGCTACATAATAGCAATCAGCTACTACCTGACCTACAGCAAGTAACTAATAAACATCTGTACATCAGGTGCAGGACTAACAAGGTTAGGTTTATTTCCCTTCTTCAATATCTGTACCTGTCCTGGATGCAAATAAGAGCTCAGGAATCGGCCTGAAGAAATCTAAAATAGAAGACCCTTGAGTCAAAAGGTCATTTGTTGGATGATGTAAACAGTTAGGAATGGATGCACCACCTCTGCCAGCTGAGTCAGACCCATCTTCCCCATCACATAACAAACATGACGCCGTAGATTCTTGATTTTCTAATGAAAAATTAGTATCTAGAAAACTCAGAATCATATGCTATAGAACAGTAAGCATCAGCAGCACTTACGAGTATCACAGAGTCAGGAAATCCTCCTTAAAAACAAAATATCCTAAAGTGCAATCAGCTTAGTATTTTTAAGAATAAAACAGTGCATGTTCATTAACAATCTAAAATGGAGCACAAGCTAAACAAATAACTAAATCAAAGGGATCTCCCTTTCTTTTGTAAAAAGGGGGTAGGAGAGAAGGTATTTTTTCACACATTTAAAACTTGATAAAAGCCATTCAAATGTTTAATTCATCAGTGTAACCAAAGCTCAAAACACATCAAAGCAGGATCCATCAGCCGGTACCCAGAAGGCTCCCTCCAAAAGCAGCAATAAAAAAATAAAAATAACCTTAAAGTTAGTGGCTCACCTTTGCATAAATTTGAAGAATAACTTTGAACCCATTCCTTCAAAAGTTCTTTGTGACTCTTGAAGGAAGCATAGAACTAAACGTTTGCAAAAAAAGAAGAAGTTTCAGCCAAGACTTCAGCCTCTTAGACTTCCGGGTTACATTAGGTCTTAGAACTCGAAAAAGCACCAGATCTGGGGGATGCATTTTAAGGATTGTGAATGTGGTGGTGGTGGTTGGGGGCACCGCCCCCCAAACACAAAACAAAAACCATTCCTTTCGCTGCAGTTCCTATTTCTCCACCTTCCACTTCAATTAAACTTATTTCAGAATACACTCACATGCATGCACAGACCACTGAATATTTAAAGAAAAAAATATCTCAAAATTATGGGATGCACATTAGCAAGTCACCCTTAGCAGAAATCATCTCAAGTCTCTTCAAGACAGAAATACCTCCCTATTTCCAGCATCCCTATCCAACAAGCAACTTTTCTATCCATTGGTTTTCAAAAGGTTAAGCCTAAATCTAAACTCTAAAACAAGCATGAGGGTTAATCCCGCTACTGATGAAAACCTTCGGGCAGGTTTTTCAGCACACCAAAAAGTTGTATTTTTTTATTCACCCTTCTACCCATCTCCACCGCCATCACCACCACCACCCCAAAAAAGAAAAAAACTCCAAAGTGCCCCGAATGTGTGCTGCTGCTGGCTCTGAAGCCGTGTAGAATTTCGTAATGGAATGTGAACTGCTCGTCCGGATCTGGGCTCACGTTCTATCTTCTAACCAGTAAGCAGCGAGGGAGGGCAAATCTGCTGAGCAAGGAGAAATACTTTCCTCCTCTTTTATAACCCATCACGGATGCACCGCGGACGCTGGACGCGAGCTGCACGCGGCGCCTGTCAACCGGCCGGCCCGCCGGCGGGTCCCCGAGACCCGGGGTCCTCACCCCCGCTGCGCCCTCCTCTACCCCCCCCCTCCCCGCGCCGTTAAAGTAAAGTAGCTCGGCCGCCGCGTCCCGCACTCACGCGCCTCGCCCGGCCCCGCGAGCGGCAGGGGAGCCAGTCACCACATCCTCGACGCGACCCTCGTCCGGGTTCAGAAAACACGCCGCGTCCCAGGGAGGGAGGGGGCCGACGACGGGAAGGACCTCCCCGCTCCTTAGCAACCATTAAGGTCGCAGTTTCCTAAGCGACCGCGAACGGGGAGGGGGCGCGGGGGGCTGAACCCGAGGCTGGGCTGGGGTGGGGGGGGCCGCACTGGGTCCCCAACCTCTCGACGCCGCCCCTCCCCACCCCTGCTGGGCGTTGCGGGCCCGGATGAGAGGAGGAAGGGAATCCCTACTGAATTTCAAAAAAAAAAAAAAAATATTTGTT